GGGGGGGGGGGGGGGGGGGGGTTGTGGTTTATCTTTCTGGAGGAAAGCTTATTTTCGGGGCGCTTGTTATTGGAATTTTGCGCTGTCAAGAGGACTGATGTGATAAACTTGTTTGTTTTCTGCACTACTTCTAATGATAGGAATAAGTAAATAAATTACAGGCGCTTTCAACATACGTCTCTGAAATGAAAAAAGAATTCGTGTCCCGAGTAGGACTCGAATCCGCGTCTCCCTGCATACTAGTCGGGAGTGATATCCACTACACCATCGGGGCAACCAGCCTGAATGCGTGGCAACTTTTTGATGTGAGTTGATAGAACGCGGTTAATCCAAGGGACATTTTTCCTTCAAGACATTTGTGTGTTTCATGGCTTCTCCCCGACAGTCGGGGTTACTAGTACTTACGTCATTTATCTCATAAATCGCTTAACCTACGTTATATTTGTTTCCATTACTTTTTTGTCACTAATATAACTTACATGTGATCTTAACTGGTTATTTTACATCGCAGTACCTAACGTACTGTTTACTGAAATCACCAGATTCATGAAAGAATTGAATGTCAGCGTTTTCCTTTCCCTTGCCCTCAAGAATGTGGAATGCAGGCCGTTCCTCGAGAGGAGGTAAAGATTAAAATAATGCGATTAATTTTCAAATTAGACTTTTTCAAGATAGTTAAACCGAGCTGGATAAGCCGGATTTACAGTGCAGTGGAATCGCAATTTTTCGAACCTCCACGGGAAGCTAAACTTGGTTCGAAAAATCGCATGGTTGGAGAAATCGGGAGTAAAATTACACTTTTCAACTGAGAAGAGGAAAACGACTTTTGGTTCGATTTATCGGGAGGTTCGGAAAAATTACGGTACGAGAAATCGGGATTCCACTGTAGGTTGATTTTACGCTTGTGAGAAATAGATATGGCAACAAACCAAAAGTTTACAAGCTTGGTGATTGAAGACAAAAAAATACGCAAAATAACACCTTATTATTTAGAGGCTAATGCTCTAAAAGTAGTTAAAAAATAGTTGTCCCGTTGTTGTTGGAATTGAAGCCGCGAAAGGAGGGGGGGGTGGGGGGAAGGGGGCAAGGAGCAAAAGGAATGGGAAGGGGGTTATTAACGAGGGATTTTCTGATATTTGCGCCTTTGAGTAGTTTTTCTTGTTAGAGCGCAATCACAAACAAAAGTTTTAAACGAGTCTTGTATTTTGTGGCTCAGGTGGAGTCCCATGTGAGGGACGATTGTGCGATGACCATGGTGCTGTGTCCTTATGAGGAAGCTGGATGCACGTTCCATGTAAGTTAATGGTAACTGAGACTCGTTTCTTCGAAATACCGTTCAGCTACAAATAGTCGTGACAAGCACACCTTTCTCGTGTTTGTTTAGGTAACACGTCAGTTCTAGCTTGCGTAACAGGCGTAGAACGGCGGAGAGGAGGAGGAAGAGCGAGAATAGAAGGCAACGCAGGCTAGTCAGTATAATTTCTAAACTTTAATCGTTAAGCAAACGCATTGTATCATAATTAAGGTTTTTTCTAAAGTACCTCTAAAACTTTTAAAACTTATGAAACAGAGGTGCTGACTGAGACTTCCACTGAATCATAAAATTAATGGAACCTTATCTAACTTATTTGATATACAAAACTGCATGCTTATCCACTGGAACGGAGTCTGTTGATAAAGGATATCCACATTGTGCCAAATGTCCTTAGTAACGGCGAGGAGGCAGCGTGGCCGAGTGGTTTATAGTGCTGGTGTTGTAATCCGGAGGTCCCGGATTCAAGGACTCCAGCCTGCCAAAGCGGGATTTCTTTCTCGTAAATAGCCAACTGGTCTGCCTCCTGTCAGTTGGGATTTTTAACTATGTTACGTTTATTTGAAATATTTGTTTCCTTTGTTTCAGTAGCATGCCTGTAAACTAGCTAAGCCCAGTGCTTGTATAGCTGAGTGTATGACCACTATAAATAAGATTTACATTTTTTTACATTTACTAAAAAAGGGCCGAGGCTTCCTATCAGTATATAGCAACGGATAGCCTACTGAACGTAACTAAGCCCTTGTTTTTTCTCTTTACATTTGAAGTACTTTTTATATGTTCAGGAAGGAATGCGCGAGATGTTAGTGTATCCAGTCCAGAATACTTGATTTGTCGCCATGATATAGTGCAGCATTTTTTTTCAACCTTTATACAGGACAAGAGGAGTAGTTTAAAAGCACATCTTGGAGCCTCGGGAGAGGAACATCTGAGAAAAGTATGGTCCAAGTACTTAAAGACAACAGAGCGATTAAGTCAGTATGAAAAGGAGATGGAATCCATGAAAGAGAGGTTTGATGGGAACGAAGAAGAAATTAATGAATTGCTTATTGAGAAGGTGTCCACGAAAGAGAGGTTATCACATTTAGAGGGAGAAAATTGCGGTCAAAGAAAAGAAATGCAAACCAACACAGAGTCTATGACAAAGCGATTAAACGAGCTGGAGGAAGACAGCAAAAGTTATAAAGAATGGCAAAATGAGACGAGAGCCATGGTAGAGCGACTAAATGAGGAGTTGGAAATAGCAAAAGCCCAACTAGTAAAATTGGAAACCGAGAAAGAACCAATGAAAACGTTTCAGGATCAGAAAGTCGAAGAAGTTATTAGCGAATGTAGATCGTCGCAGAAAAAGTTTGAAGAGCAAAATATTGCACTGAAGGAAGACGTCGCAAAACTGCAAAGGCAGCTTGAAGACGCAAAAAGTACCGCTACTAATGACGCACAGAAACTGAAACGAGACATACAAGCAGTATATTCAGAGGTTCAAGCTACGAGAGGGAAACAACCGCGGAATCTAGCTAGCTCGTTTCCTTTTACGCCTCCTGTGCCTTTATTTTCGCCTTACCCACTGAGAGCTCCGCTGACAGAATCACTGACTGATCCAAGGCCCTTCACGATGTCCGCGACAAGAAAGCCCGAGACTGCTTCGAAAGAGGACAAAACACGCAATTCTGCAGAACTCGAACTTGTACCTATAGGCTATAATAAAATTGTACATCCAGCGGTGAAGAGACCAAAGATCGAGGAAGCGACTAAATGCAAGTATGTGTTGGTCAAAAAGGGTAATTGATTCGCGTTGTACTCCATTAAATAATTAATTGAAGTTACTTCCACTATTTTAGTAATGGTAAACAGAGGGAAAGCAAATATTTAATTACGAATATTTCATTGTCCAAAATGTTTTAGCGACTGGGTCTTGTTCCCCTGTTGTTTTTTGTTCGTTCAAGGACAAGAACCATTATCATATGACCCGCACGGTCCCACACGCCATTTCCATGAAAAACCATGAGAAAAAGGTCCCGTATGAGGGCCGTACGCGTCAAAGTGATAGGGCCGGAAAAACACGTACGGCCCTACTAGAAGTGCGTACGGCCCTGCTAGAAATGCGTACGGTAGGCTTTTGTTCATTATGCCTTTATTTCCCCACTAAAATACTCCACCTAAACGCTCCATTTTCCACTAAAATGATCGGTTAATGCTCATAAACAGGGTTTTTTAAATATTAATAATTTTAACGTTTCACCCCAATTAACAGTTCAGAGTGCTTACCAAAATCGTATACCTAGTATAACAAGTTAGCAACAACGTATGTAATAGTTTTAATACACCAAAAGATAATTCTCTGAATGATCTGTTGTTCTGTTAATCCTTTGTCCCCTTTCAGTGAAGAGGAAAAGTCTTCATTTTCTCGTAAAAAAAAATTTTATTTCTATTTTCTGCGGAAAAAATATTAATTTTCCGGGAAATGCCACTAAAATGCTCGAATAATACTTAATACTTTTGCCTCTGTAAAATGCTCGAAAAAATGCTAACATAATGTACAAAATCCTAGCGTACGGCCCAAAAAAATGCGCACGGTCCTACTAGAAATGCATACGGCCCTACCAGAAGTGCGCACGGCCCTACTAGAATCGATGCGACTTAATGACACATGAATGCAAAATTTTGTTTTCTCCAACGTGAGCAAAGAAAGTGAATATTCTGACAGCGAATTATTCTATCCTTTCGAACTGTCCTATCCAGATACTTAAGGTCATTCCTCACATTTGCATTGCGCATCCTTACTGCGCATAATTTATGGCGTCATTAGTGTGCGCTTGTGCACGCGCATTTTGAAAACATGACGGATTTACCTTGATATTGAGCTCTGTCAGTTGAAAAATGGCTCTAGCTCACCAACGAGCATGGGCAACCCAATTTTTTTTCCAGTCGTTGTAATCAACTAATCATAAGCTTTGCGTGAGAAAAGACTGATCTAATTTCTATTGCTGAAAATTGAATAAATAAGAAAAATAGCAGATACACTGTGGTCTTTTCTATTTTTCAGTCAGTAACCACGTCAAGAAATTTGGTTCAAATTTTTAATCAAGGATTTAGCTTTCTGTCTGAATCAAACTTTAAATGTTTATTTGTGTCCGA